TGCATGCCGGCAGCAAGGGGACAGAGCTGGACACGTGGGTGGTGGCTTACAGGTACTTCAGGCTGACTCTGCAGTGTCTCTGCACCGTTAGCCAAGGGCACACACACTGTGGATGGGTCAGACTATCTCAACACACTCTGAAGGAGTGCTGAGTTGTGTTGGGATTGATACTCGAAGTATCGGCCACAACGTGCTGCTTTATGCCCTGCTGGCTTGATGCTCTCCTACAACCTACAGAGCCAGGGTGTTAAATCCACTCCCCTGGACCACTTCCAGCTCAGGTAAATGCACCTGCCAGAACCCCCTTCCCTGCAATTCAAGGGGAGGGCACCATCTTTCACTTGCTGAGGCATAGAAGGGATGCTGTTCCTCCTGGGAATGCTCAGCCGATGTCCAGGATCACCCCTGGCAGGCCCCGGGTTGGTGCTGGCTGCCACATAGCCAGGTGCTGCACAGGAGATGTGCATGGTCCAACTCCCCACTGACGTAACTCCTGGGAGGCAGACGGGAGTTGCCAGTGGGGAATTGGCTTGCATTTCTTAGAGCACTTGGGGAGCTGTGTGGAGAGGAGGTAATTGTTAAATGTGGGCTGAGATAGGCTGAGCAGGGAGGGCAGGAAGCCAGGGAGGTGGTAGACACCTCACCAGAGCTGGCTTGGTTTATACAAGTTGAGCTTTGTTCAGCATCTCCCCAGGGTTTTGTGGCTGGGAGGTACCATCCCGTGCTGCTCGGATGACAGGGAGCCAGGTGGCTTCTTTGTGGAGCCTTGCAAAACCTTCCCCATCAGTCATTCCTTAGCAGGATGAAGCACTGATGGGAAGGGGCCATGGCAGGACTGCCTCAATTCTATCCCAAATGCTGGTGCCAAATCCCCGTAGAACAATGGCCTCAAAAACCCTTGGGAGAGCAGCACTGGGTGCAGATGGTGAGGCCTCCTTATCTGAACCAAGAGAAGGTGACCACAGCCTGACCAGGTCTTGGCAGCCTTTATCTGGAAGCCAAGTTGAGGGCACAAGCAGTGGGGTGGAGGCTGTAACCTCCCTGAGCTTAATCATGGTCCTAAATATCAGAAAAAGCATAACCTGGGAAAGATGTTTTGGTCCACATTGGCCAAAGACCCAAGGCACAGGGTGTCCAAGATTTAAGAGCATCTGCTTGGCCAGTCTTCATGGACCCCTGCAGTCCCCATGGGCTCCTGTGGGCAGGTGAGAGATGCCCATAGCGTGGTAGGAGACAGGCCCTGGCTACTGGGACAAGCTCCTTTAGCCTTCAGGCATCCAAATGCATGTCCATGCCCACTAATGTTGATGTCCAGGTGGTTGATGGTGCTGGGATATGCAGTTCTGTCAACTAAGAAGGGCAGATCCATCAATGCATTGCACAAACAGATTAGGTCTCTCTTGTGCCAGATCTCCTTGACACTGGGATCTAGCAGAAAAATGGATTATGGATTAACACCCAGATGCCCCCCATGGGCAGTCTCAGCTCCCATGCGTGTGCCCCAGCTGAGCCTGTGGGGTGCCCATGGTGCAGAGCTGTCTCCCAAGCTCCCACAGCCCTTTCTGCTGTCACACATCACAGAAGCAGAGCCTCCTGTCCTGCAGGTATAACCTGTCCTTGTCCTCGTCCCGGCACTGCCTCACACACGCTGCGCTCAGCCAGGTGGCCGGGCTCTGTGTCACCTCCAGCCTGTGTGTCACCAGCAAATCTGGCTGGTGGTGATGCCACCTCTCTGCTTGCTGGTACTTCAGTCAAATCAGCAAGTGTCTCCAGGACTCTCCAGTATGTCCTTTCCCACACTGCCCTGCCTTGCTGACATCCCTCCCTAAGCTGCACATCCCCAGCATCACCCTGGCTCATCCCCAGCACCAGCCAGACACATTGTGTGTCTCTGCACTAAAACCTCACAAAAAAAGGCAAGGACCTAGCTGGCTCACATGCTTACCCTCACCATGCTCACAGCAGCACATCTCTCTAACCTGGGGTCAGTGCCCACAAGAACACATCTGTTCCTCATCTGTGCCCACACAGAGGAGGTCTAATGCAGGAGAGATGCCTCTGTGTGCTTTCTTGAGCAGGACTCGTGCTCAAAGCCAGCCCGAGAGAGGCTCCTTGCTTGTCTGCAGGGATGTATTAAGTCCCTCTGAGCCTGCCTGCCCTAAGGCTTTGCTGGCTCACAGAAAGTGGAGGAAAAGCATGAGGGTCTGGCTTACACTGTGCTACAGTCTCATGGGTTCTATCCAGAGGCTGCACAGCATCTCATGGCATCCAGACACCTCCTCATGCAGCCGTCATGGACCTAAACCATCCCCAGTTCTGTAGACATGGCTTCTTGGCCCCGTCACTGCCTGATATTCATCTCTGCCTGGCTGGCAGATCTGGTCACTGAACAGGAAGGCCTTTTCTACAGGTCTCTTGCCTGCTGGTCCTTCCCAACACAGCCAGCCTCTGGTTTTCTGTCTGGCTGCAGGGGTGAGCAAGTCTTCCCCAGCCCCACAGTCTTGTGCTCCCCCATACTGAGAGCTCCCAATTTGGGACAACCTCCCCATCAACACCACTGCAAAGGCCTCTGTGAAAGTCATGGGGAGGGGGCAGAAAATACATCTGAATCTGTCTCACGCTTTCCACAGCCATATTCCACTGGCAGAGCGGGAGCAAGGATCCTGGGAGAGACAGCTCCCTACCTGCTGGCTCCCTTGGCCACAGCTCGGCGGCCGAGCTGGCTCCCCAGCACCTGCCTCCCCCCAGCCTGCAAGCCCTGGGGCAGCGTGCAAGGAGTGACAGGTGAGTTGGCAGCAACTGAGCTCTGGCACCCCTTGGCGCTCCCTCTAAACCAAGCCCTTTGCACGCCGTGTTTCTGCCATGACGAACCAGCAGACATCAAGGAGAAGTAATTTGCTGGGATTCTTCTGGACAGGTGTGTCCCAACGCCCACGCGCCGCTCTCACCCGTGCGGACAGGAGACACGTGCTCTGATGTTTCCCGACACCTGGGCACGGCTGCTGGCTTGTGGTTGCTGGAAACACTGGCGGAGGGGTTGGGTCTGTTTCTCTCCAAGACCTTAGATTCAATGGATGGGTATCGGCTCAGGGTTTGCCCTTCCCAGTACACAGGTCATGAGACACCCAACATGCAGGGTTTGTGGGAAGATCACCAAGGCAGCTTTTTTCCCAACAGGACAAAACCAGCTCCAAAGGCTGCAGTGTTGCTCTGCCCTTCCCTCTGTCCCATCACTCTGGAGCATCCTTTGGCTTTAGGCAAGTAAGATCCTATACCCAAGCTGTTGCTCTGAATCACCAGGTCTGCCTCCTGCTGCCGTTCTGATAACTGATGACCGTCCTTGGCAGAGCCAGGAACAAGCCTTCTGGTCCACTTTTCATGATTCCTTGGTCTCAAAATTCTTCAGGGTTTATAATTCCTGGCTCTGAAGTCATGCTATTCTGTTCCATCTCTTGACATCCCATGCCCCGTCTGATGGCAGGGCTTTGTGTAAGCTTAGAGCAGGGCTGAGGGAGCAGGATCTTGAGCAGGGCTAGTGTGGCAGCTTAGTCTTTCCCTAGCAGGGACATCATTCTTGGAACCTTATTGTTGATTGTGTCTGGTGTGAAGCTGGGCTGGTGGGGCAGGCCTTGGGGTCTGGGACATGCCCAGCTCCCAGTGTCTTAGCAGGAGCTCTGTTGGACTGTGAAGAGGAGCAGAGGGCATGTCCCATCCCCAGCATGGAGCAGCTCACTGCCTTGCCTCACCTGAGAACTCTTCCACCCAGGTAGGGTCTCAGACCCTTGGGCCAGTGCAGACACCTCTCCTGGGAGCATTTTCCAAGGAAGAGACCCTCATCCAAGCTCCTCAAACCATGCCTGGCAAGGCACACAACAGCCTCTGTCAGGATGGGCTGTGAATCTCTCCCATCCAGCGCTGCTGCAGGCTTCTCCATCACCCAGAAAAGCCACAAATGGATGGCCAGCAAAGGCATACATACCCCAGCATCTGGTGAGGCTCTGGCATGCTCAGCCATAGCCTGGGCTCAGTGACAGCTGGGCTCAACCCAAAGTGCTGATTTGGCTGAATCCAGGCCAGGACAGTTCCTACACTTCCAGCAAATCAAGAGGCTGAGAGCAACACAGACTTGGGGATCTGATGGCAAAAGCAGCATCCCACAAGACCCCTGCTCCCTGCCCAGCTCCCACCTCTCATGGGGCCAGCCTGGCCTGAAGAGGAGTGGTGGGGTTGGTGTCTGGGAACTCCCTCTCTGTGGCTTCCCTCCTAATAAGGAGGGGATGACGCTATGTGTGCAAGCTGTTCCTAAGGGAGGAATGTCCTTTCTTCCCTTGCCATGTTGTGGCTGGCTAAGTACAGGCCTTCAGCTCAGCAGCCTCCTCCTGGCTTGCTGCTGTAAAGTGTACCTTCCACATCTGGCCTGAATGTTCCACAGCTGCTGGGCTTACCCTCTCTCTCTCTCCCCAGCCCATCTGGGACTGGCATCACCAAGATAGTGAGGCCAGAAATACTGGGAGAGGCTGGGATGCACTGGGAGGGGATGGTGCTTCGTCTTCCACAGGGATGGGCTGGCACAGGGTTCTCTCCCACAGGTGGAGGAGGAATTTTGAGGCTGTCATATGCCTTAGACCACTATAGTGGACTTGCTTATATGGTTATAGTGCTTCTCCTGGTATAGCTGTAAGCTGTATACAGCTACAGGGGAACCCCTTTATACTCTGACAGGGATCACTGACCCAGGAGGATGCCCACCTTCATGCAGACCCTTTCTCACCTCCCCCTGTTCAGCAACAGAGGAGGGGTTCCAGTTAAACAGTCCACGGTTTCATGCGGACACTTCCCCTGCCCCTCCCGCCCTCGGGACTGCCCCTTTGGCCGCATCTCCGCTGCCCAAGACTTTGATTTGCTGCCGTGATAAACGCCGGTGAAAATGGCACGGGCCGGGGTCATGCAAGCAGAGCCCCTGGCTGGCTGCCCCACGGATGTGTTTCCAGTCTCTGCAGAGCCGTTTGTCCCTCGGGGGGTGCCAGGCCGTGTCTGCAGCCCGGCAGCAGCATCGGGAGCACGGAGAGCTGGCCCGGGCTGCCGTGTCCCTCCGTGGGCGCCTGGGGTGTGGGTACCGCGCACAGGTGTGCAGGCAGGTGCGTGTGCATCCACTGCCCTCTGCTGAGCAGCGCGGGCAGCTCAGCGGGGCCGAGCCGTGCGGGGCTGCTGGCACCGGGCAGCCACCGGCCACGGCCATTGGCAGCTTCGTCAGGGGCTGATTTTGCTATTTCTACCCCTCTCGTCTCTCACTGGGCGTTATTTTCTGACCTCAGATCCTTGGCTTTCAGCTCTTGTCCCCGTGCCACCCCCAGCCTTCCTTGCCATACCTTTCCTAGTTTCTCACCGAGCTTGGTCCCTCTCTACCCCTTTCCCATTATTTATTGGAGTGTATGTGCAATTATCCATCTAGTTTTTACTACCCCCGGCCTCAGGCAAGTAGATCCATCTGAATTAATATCCAGGAGCTGGGAGGCACAAAGGAGCTGCTGGTGGCAGCTGGAACTGTGGGACAGTGGTGTACCTGCCCAAGCCAGCCCTAGTGAGTGGTGATGCAGCTGCCTGCAGCAACCGTGCTCCACTCTGCCCTGCCCCAGACTTGTGGGGAACTTCTTCCCAGTCTTCACACCCAGCTCATACAGCAGTTGATTGCAACAAACCAATGGAGTCTGGCCAGGCATGGCCCCCTGAAGGATGCTAAGAAGGCAGAATTGTGTCAACAGGGCCAGATTCAGACTCTCTGCAACATCTCTACTTGTCTGAGGAGATACGATCACATGCTTTGATGCCTAGAGGGTCTCTGATGGGTCTAGGGTACATTTAGCTGCCAGATATATTGAGGAGGAGCTGCTCCCCCCTCCACATACTTTCTATTCCCTCACTGCCTCACTGTAAACAGGCCACTTAATTCAAAGTCTGCAGAGGAAAGGAGCAGGAATCTCTGGTTATGTCTGCGCTGGTAAAACTAACAGTCCCAGGGCATTGCCAGGCACAGCACTGAGATTGTCCCCATGGCAATTTTTAGCACTGTCCTTTTATGATTTTGTCTTGGGCCAGCTTGCAGTGACCCAGACAATTTTTGCTCACAGTTTAGGAGTTAGCCTGGGTTGTGGACAATCCCAGCAGGATCCGGCACACAGGCTGTCCATTTGCAGGATGCATTTCACAGCCTGGAGGTGGGCTGGTCCACGACAGAGATCCCCTGTGACAGAGAGAATTCCCAAGCTTAACTTAGTTTAGGGCTGTAGAGAATTCTTCTCAGAGAGACTAGGAATGGATACTTTGGAAATGCAGCCCCATTGCCCCTGACATGTCTGCTCCAGGCATTTGGAGGGGTCTCTGGGTAGAGGAGCTCTCAGGCCGGGGACAGAAGTGTGATTCTTTTCTGTAGGTATTGTGCATTCAGGGTTAGGATGAAGGTTAGGGAGAGTTTCAATTGCTGGACTGTGGGACTGCAGGCAAGGGAAGGGCTTGGGACAGAACCTGTTGGTGGGATGGGGTAGAAATTCATACATCCATGACACAGGAGACCCTCAGCCCATTTTCCTCTAAACCTGTCTCCCACATACATCAATAGCAACAAAATTTATTCACACATTCAATGAAACGTTAGAGTGACCCCAAAGGACTTCTACCCCTGGGTCTTTTCAGGCATCACTTGCCCTCTCCCACAGTGGCCACACAATACCAGCTGCATTTACACACCTGCTGAGCCTGAGAGGGGTGGTGAGGATGCACACACACGTGTTTGTGTGTGTGTGTGTGTCTCACATGTGTGTGTTTGTGTGTATAAATGTGTGTGTGCTCACATGTGTGTGTTTGTGTGTATAAATGTGTGTGTGTGTGCTCACATGTGTGTTTGTGTGTATAAATGTGTGTGTGTGTGTATAAATGTGTGTGTGTAAATGTGTGTGTGCTCACATGTGTGTTTGTGTGTATAAATGTGTGTGTGTGCTCACATGTGTGTGTTTGTGTGTATAAATGTGTGTGTGTGTGCTCACATATGTGTGTTTGTGTGTATAAATTGTGTATGTGTGCTCACATGTGTGTGTTTGTGTGTATAAATGTGTCTGTGTGTGCTCACATGTGTGTGTGTGTGTGTATAAATGTGTGTGTGCTCACATGTGTGTTTGTGTATATAAATGTCTGTGTGTGTGTGTGCTCACATGTGTGTTTGTGTGTATAAATGTCTGTGTGTGTGTGTGTGCTCACATCACCACACAAGATGCCCCTGGCGTGCCG